GATGGTTCACATCCCTACCAATTGCAGGCTTGCCACTAGAAGAGGATCCTGGGGTACAGGTACCAGACCAGATGGGTAGTCTGAGTGATGATGATAATGTAGTTGAATCCGAGTGCCCTTCTGTTGCTTCAGTTGCAGCTCCGCCCAGCTCCAATGTGGCTGTGGAGTCTTTGAATGTTCAGAGGATGCTGCAGAATAAGTTTGATATGAGGGGCAGTGGTCCATTGCAGTCAAATGTTGATGGAGGTGAACCACCCTGCAATGATAAATTAGCCTCTTTGGAAGCTGCTATCAATGACTGTGCCAGTCAACTAATTGCAAAGCTCAAGCGCGATCCGGAAGAACTCAGTGAGCCTGTTGAATCCTATGTTCAACAGTTCAACTCCTTGAAAACAAATTCTGCCCTTGTTGGTGCCCTGAAGACCTTCGGTAAATACACTGGTGCTTCTCTGGATATGACCTCTTCAAAGAAAAAGAAACAGGCTCGAAGGAAGGGAGTGGCCATCAAAGTTCAGCCAGCTGCTGTTAGTCGACGTAAGACTGTTCTTGGGGGCCGCAGATGCCTTCACACTGGCCGAAAGCTAAGAGAATTGAAGAAGCGAAAGACAGTGGACAGTTCCCAGTTGATTCCAAAAAAGAAACCAAGGAAAGCACCCCATTCTCTCAGTCAGTGTGTAACAAACAATGAAGGGATTGGTCAAAATAAATCTTCAAAGTGGTAGTTAGTTACATGTATAGTCAGCTAGACAGTAAAAGATGAAGTTGAGTTCTGGTCATGCGATTGCATTGTGAAAGAAACGGTGTGGAACCAACCAGAAAAGGTTGATCATCTAGCATATAAGAATTTGTGTGTATTGCAAGGTTCTGGAATCATCAAAATGATAAGAAATTTGGCCAAGTCTTGGTAAAGTTATAAACACTTGCACAGAAAGATGTATATGGGACTACACGAACATGTGGCGTAAAAAGCCGCCCCCCCCCCAGATTTTTACGATGTTACATGCATATTTAGAATATGAAGGCATTTGAAGAGCCATGCTTTTCAGGGAACATGTCTTAAATGATGTTCTGCACACTTGCATAATAAGAATGAGTAATGCTCACAAATTATTTTTCACCTCTTCCCAGAACTCAACCTTCTCTTTAATTGAAACCCAGACATCAGTGTGCTTTCAGTGAATAAAGAAGAACAAGAAGAGTTAGACAGTGAAAGTTTGAGCGAAAGCGGGCAATCTGTTCAAGAGTTTAAGTAAATCCTTATTACGGGGATGAATTGGCAACTTTGCCAGCATCTGTAATGTCATTGTGGACAACTCTCCATTCATTTTTTACACAGAATTTAACATTTTCTTCATTTTCAAGAAAAATATAGATTCTTTTAATTCAATCGGTTTGAGTATGACATGGCTAGATTGATTCTGCAAGCATTTTTGGGAAAATTATGTTGATTCCTGGCTTAGAATTTAATATAAATCAATTTAAAAAAAATGATGCACAAAATGAATGGAGACTTGTCCACAATAGCATCACAGATGCTGCCAAGCTAGTTAAACCAGGTATCCCAATAATAGGGATTTACTGAACCCTTGAGAATTTGATGATAACTCTTGAACAGATTATCTGATTTTATACAAACTTTCAAACTTTAATTCTTTCCGTGCTAAGAGACTTTACATTTTTAATTGAACATTACTCCACTTAGAAAGATGGATATATGGTCTGACATACATGTATATGACATATGATATATGACATAGTCTAGAGGATACATATAGTATTTTAAATATTTATAAGTCACTATAATTATGCTACCATTGGATTTGTTTTGTTTTTAGAAAACTGCAGATATTGGGAAAGGATCCATTCTTTTAGCATAAAACAATAGCAAATAAATGAGAAATGAAAATTGAAAGGTCAAGAGAGATTAAGCTCATTTCTATTTCAAAATAATTTTCATGCATGACATTGAATTAATGGAATTATTTTGTATCATTTGAAAGGGTAATAAATGTTTGTAGAACTTTTGTGTACAGCATATCTGTATAGAAATTAATGTTGGAGATTTACAGGCGTTCGAAAAGCAAGCACTGTACATGATTTGGTAGAATTTGGGAACAAGCAAAACCCTTGGCACTGTAAGAGTTAAAGGAGAATGAAACCCTGGGGAAATATCTATTTTTAACGAACAGAGAAGATAGAGAGAGGCAATTAAAAAAAAAAGTTCCATCAAAATCGGTTACGAAATGAGAAAGTTATGAAAGTTTGAAAAGTTTTGCGAACCGCACTATAGTTGTACAATTCTCAATATGTTTTGTACACAAAATTTCATATTTTCTCCATTATCTCTGAAGATGCTGCTTGTCTTTTTGTGAACTCAACATACATGTATGTTATCAAATACATTTTCCCATGATATATATCTTGAGCTAAGAAGGAGACAAGCTGCACCTTCAGAGATAATTGGGAAAATATGAATTTTGTGTACAAAACATATGGAGCATTGTACTACTAAACCTGCCACTTTGAAGCACGTTGCCAATTTGAGGATCGCCATAGAAAGTAAATTGAGGCTTTTCAAACTTTCATAACTTTCTCATTTTGTAACCAATTTTGATGGAACTTTTAAAAATTGCTTATCTCTATCCTCTCTTTTCATTAAAGTGGATTTTCCCCAGGGTTTCATTCTCCTTTAATATTTCCCAAATTTGATTTGTGAGCACAAAAATACTTCAATCACAGGCATATAAACAATTTCTGTCAAGTAAATTGTACCAAGTTAGATTCGAAGTGAGTTAATCAAGTTATAGGCATAATGCTATGAAAATTGTTAAGAACTTATATGAGACACAAAATAGTCTTGTAGGGTAGAATGAAGGCACATTATAACTTTTGAAGGAAATAAATGGAGGCATGAGTGAATTTGCAAGTAAGATATTATCTCACGCATATAGTCATTTTAATGACTGATGATTTAATTGGCTAATTTAGATTTTAGTTCATTCAAGATAACTTTTGTTCATTTAAGAAAATGGTGACATTTGTCATAGATTTCAGTAAGTGTAATACATACTTGTAATTAGAATGTTCAATGTATTGACAAAGAAAGATTATTAATAGAACAAAATCTTGAAAATAATTTGGGTAAAAGTTCATACTACTTTTTTTATGTGAAAGGTCATGCTAAATTCTTGCACATAGAGTGTTCATGTCTAATTTCGAATCTGAGAATAAATAGTGAGAGTTCAGGTTTTAATTAAAATTGGGATTTATTTTTTATTTTAATGCTTTGAAATTGTCAGTATATAGTGTCAGTAGGTTATGTTATTATGTATTCTGAATTAGTCTCAAAAGCAGTGACACATACATGCAATATATATGGAGTCTCAAATTTAGTTGACAGAGGCAGTGAAATAAATGTGTGTGGGGATTGTATCTTAATAACAGAAAATGTAAAATCATATCCTGTGCATGTCATATCAAGTTTAAATTCATGAAAGTAGGTCAAAGGTTATGAACCTGCTGTTTGTATTTATTGTTGAAAGCTCAAATTAATGCAATGAAATGGATGTCCTTTAAATATTGTTTTGATTCTGATTTAAGTTAGATAATCTTGAGAAAAGAAGTTTGAAGATATAAAGATTGAAAAGGACTTAGTCAGATATTCATGTTTAAATAAGAGATGAATCAGTGTAATGTGCACTTGGTATGCATATTAATAATAAAAGCTTGTCTTTGACATGTGTGTAGAGCCTGTATATATTACTTTATGTCCTTTGTTTTCTTTGGCCAGGTTCATCTGTCACAAAGGAACCAGAACCACTCATATGTTTGTTTGTTTTATTTCCACTTTTTCATATCAATACAAAGAAACATACAAATAAATATAATGAATAACATGTAAGTTTGACAAAATTTGTTTCTAGTTAAAATAAAAGTTTCATACAAAAGGAAAAAGCAGGAGACCACATGTCGTAAGCGTAAATGCTTGAACATGACCGTGGCCTCTGCCGAGTTAACAAAATAAAAGAACAACCCATGCAACTGCATTGTATTCAATGTTAAATAAGATATAAGTGAAGTGATTAAAAGTGAGCATGGCTGAATTAATTTTGAGTGAAAATAACTAAACAAATTTAGTGAAATATTTCGTGTTGAGAAGTGCATTTGTGCAAGGTGCAAAAATTAGCTTGGTGGAACAAAAAAGAGACTAATACCGTGATATTAATTGTGTGTTGGTTTCAGTTACGGGTGATAATATTAAATGTTTGTCAAGATATCATGCTCAGAGCAACACAGTGGCTTTGAACCACATCCAACCATCTCATGTCGGACCATCCTGATAAGATAATTCATACCCCTTGTGTGTGTCTTTTGTGTATTCTTGACAGCTAGTGTGTGCATTTGTTGCTTATGTGTTTGTAAATACATGAGGGTGGGTGGGTGTGTGTTTATAGAGAGAGAGAGAGAGAGAGAGCGAGAGAGAGAGAGCGAGAGAGAGAGAGAGCGAGAGAGAGAAAGAGAGAGAGCGAGAGAGAGGAAGAGAGAGAGAGAGAGAAAGATAGTGTTTGTATGTATAGCCTATGTGTGAAATTGGAATATTAGTGTGTGTACTGTAAGTGAACTCTTTGAGAGAAAAAAATCCGCAGTGTAAAACCAGGGACTTGTTAGTTGACAACCTGGTAAAACTATATAAACCAAGCACCAGAATAACCAGAAATGTTCACAAACAGACCCCCCCCCCCCCCCCCCCCCCTTCCCCCAATAAAAATCCCCTCGCACGCACCACAGCTAGCTCACATACATTTTGTACACCTAAATGGCCAGCAAAACTGAAGTCCACGCGCATGCGTAATACATATACTAGGTACTGCAGCTCAGCCACAGTGCTGTGAACTCAGCTCGTGAATATTCATGACGCGTATACCTCTGAACCAATCAGGAGGCAGGATTTTACTCTCATAGGTAAACCTGTTTGGGAAAAAAAAATTCGCCGCCGGGGCACATGAACATAATGAAGGCTGATACCAGAAAGAGCAGCACGGTTTTCTGTCGACGATCCATCTCTAAAGCTCTGTAGGCCTATCTGTTGGTTTTGTGTGAACTGGGGTCCAAGAGGCTAGGCGAAGGCAGAGAGCTGAACGAATAAACGTAGCGCTATATAGATCAACTCACAATATTAAGCACCGTACTTATATAGTTATTTAATATTACTGATTCACTAGCCATGCAAACGCTTTTCAGAGTGTGGTGTGTTCCATCCAAATACGTTTATAAATAACTAGATAGAAAGCTGCACGCGCGGAAATCATTACGAGACTGGGATTAGGGCTCCGCCTCTTTTGGATCATTTGAAGACGAAACTAAGCATTCTGATTGGATGAGAGCGTCAGGAAGGAATAAGCCTCTGGTACGATAATAATGTATGCAGCTAGGAAGTGATCGCATGACTATTTTAGAGGGAATTCAGAAAATATAGAGCATGTGTATGTTTGAAATGATGCATAATACCACTCTGTTTCCGGGAGAAAGGTCATGCCACTGAGCAATGTAGAAACAACCTGTATACCGTGTATCAGTTCAATTAATGGAGAAAAAGGCAATCAAATTTTGCTCATTTTTTTTTTTATTGTTTCACGAAAATGAATACGAGCCTTGCGTGTTTTTGCCCTAGCACCTAACCTTCGATTTTTGTTTAATTTTCTTTCAAAGATTTCAAGATAATATGCCTTACCTGAACATAATTATGTTGTTAATTATATTGTTACGTTTTCTACGATATATTTTGCAATGACATTCTCAAGCAGAAAATTTCAAACTCACATACATAATATACGGCACAATTACCGTATACGAGATCCTTTCCATGAATTCTTTTATCTGTCAACGTAAACTCCGAATTGTATCAACATTTCGGCTGCTTTTCTACCAGTGATAAATAGTGATTATTTATTAATATTGCAACCATAAGCTAGATTTCATATACATGTATAAAATAGAAGGAGTGAAAATTGTTGACACTAATCATAATAGGCCTTTATCACTATTAGAAAAAAATTAAGCAAGTTGTTTAAAATTTTAAACAACCCCGAGTCAACCGGTGAATCGCTCAACTGTTGTTTAAAAATTAAACAAATTAAGGTTGTTTACATTTTGAACACTTAGTTGTTTAAAAATTTGGAAACCTTTTAAACAACAGTTGTTTAGTAATAAAATTGCACAACTCGGTTGTTTAAAGCAAGTTGTTTAAATTTTAAACAATAATGTTTAAATTACTAAGCAACTGTTGTTTATTCAGTATTACTGCACAATTGGGTTGTTTAAAAGGAGTTGGTTAAATTTAAAACAGAACTGTTTAATGGTTATTATCTGGTTGTTTGAATTTGTGAAATGACCTACTGGAACCACTCCTGCAATAATCACAACGATTTATACACTGTAACATGCAGAGCTTGTTGCCAATTTACTTCAACATTTGTTCATCATATTCATGGCAGTGACAGACAACATTATTATTTGTCTCTATAACTTCACCTAAACCCCATCGGCGAAGCCGACAAGAACCAAGTCGTCGCCTTGCCCCGTGTTCCGCCATTTTCGTCTGCACTGCACTGCACTAGCACTTGCACTGCACATTAGCACTGCATGCTTGCATGCATGTATTATGTACCGTTGCATATCGCATGTGTGTGCGCAAATTGCAATCGCGTATCGAGAAAATATCAACGATACCCCCGGGACTTTTTAAACAACTCTGTTTAATTAAAAAAAAATTTTAATAGATAGTGGTTTAAGCCAATCGAGCACTGATTTTTCGATTTTGAACAACGTTGTTTACTTTTTTAAACAACATTCTTTTAAACAGTGATATTTTAAACACCGTTCTAACAGTGATATAAACAAAAATACATAAATATTGGACGATAAAGATAAATAAATACATTGAAATTTATTGGTAAATTACTTTTATTCCAGTTTATATAATATGTATAAATATATACAGCGTGGGCTGAGCATTAGCAACATTGCACTTTATAATATTACGGTTTTAATAATTATGACAAAATAAAAACAAACGAAGATGATACGTTTGCGATTAGAAAAAACACATAAATAGGCCTACCTCCAATTTGAAAAATAATTTGAATATTCACATTCTTATTCATACCACAATTCATGTGCATGTCTTTTGTTTGGTGTGGAATATATTGGTCACATCAATCTGTTTCTCCTTTCTCTTTCTCCCCACTCATTTGACTCTCTCTCTCTCTCTCTCCCTCTCCCTCCCCTATCCATTCTTTCTCTCGCTCTTTCTGTTTATATATCTTTCTTCCTTTTTCTTCTCGTACTACACTTTTTAAAATCGCTAACTGCATGTACTATGTTATTTAATACGAAATATGTTTCAGTTGTTTTTTCTAAACAAAGAAGAATAAAAAAAGAGAGAGTAAGAAACGAATGCGTGGGCAGATCAGTCATGGCATAATTTCACATGCCTGTCCAGATAAAGTTAGGGTGGTTGCAACAGTATTTGACCCATAAAGATTGAGATAAGCACTTCCCTCAAAAGCGAATTAACGGACCATTTTCATAATGTAACCAAATTAATGCATATGCCTTTGTGAAGCGTCTCCATACAAATTATTTCATTTACCTGTAAAGAATGAATCAGTATCTCAATAGTTAGAATTCGAATTGCGTACATAAGTCGTTGCTATGTAAGACAAACTTTATGGCGTGATCTATCTAACAACACGTAATATATACAAGTTTGATTCTGACCATTGAAATACAATTATTCGTAACAGATGAATGAAATAAATCGTATCGAGGCACTGAGGTATACATTTCGTCGCTGTTTTCACGAAGTGACGGCAGTGAAAAAAAATTGCATTCACTTTGCGTTACGATTTACTTCACTACCGTCACTTCGTGAAAACAAGGACGATTTGGTTACGAAAATGGCCTATTAAAATGGGTATTTCAAAAGTTGGGGAAATATAGGAGATGTGTTATATAGCCTAATTAAAGGAAAAAAAGGTCTAAGGATTCGACATCTCTCCTAGTATGTATGCGTTATTGTTATGATTGTTTTAGATTCAGAAAACTAATACAAGGATGCCCCTCGATTGCTAGCATTCAAGGCTTCTTTCAAGTCCCAGGTCGGTTTCCTCTACCAGCATAACGAAGATCAAGGGAATAGGGAGCTATAAGTGAGTCTTAATTACCAGGATGTTTAACCCTCAAGTAGACATCTTTTCATCATGTTAATCAACTTGACTTGTAATTCTAAACGCGTGTGTATCGAGAAAGTATCATTTGAAACTTAATGTTGTAAATAAATACTAAATTAGAAGTCACAAAAAATATGAAGAAGAAATGAAATGTTTCATCACAAAACGAGTGAAGCGCCATTAAAAAAAATATATTTTTAAAGTAACACCACCATCGTCAAATACAAAAAATCCTTTCATTTGATACCCTGCTCATTACATATGAAGGAAATATTTTGAAAGTATTATTAAAAACAATCGAAAAATTCTCGTTATTTTCATAATATTTTAGTTATTTCAATCGCAAATACCTCAACTTGAAAAAAATGGAGATACAATGTATAGCATTTTGCGAGGAAATTTTTCATATGTTTCCCGTCTTTGACATACTTATACCAATGTATACATTAAAAATTATCAATAACCATGATATAAATCCATGTCAATATCATCGGAAAGAATTCTTTAAAACGCATCCGCTCAAAAACATGGTACGTGGTAACAAAAAACGCCGCACTGCTCAATTTGTAATTTTCTTCAAATGAGACTTAATGACGAAATCTTATTGCACAAAAAAGTGGGAGAGAAAGCGAAAAGGGGACAGTTAGGAACGAGAGTCTTGATGCGATAAAATTATGATTTCCTTCTCGTTTTATTTTCTTAAAAATGGAATAAAATTGCCGTCATAGATTCCATTTATCCCGATCTTAAATTGGTTAGCAAATACCATTGCTATATATAAACACGATAAATAGAAACCATGTAAAATATAAGATTAAAGACAGAAATCCTTTTTTTATTCATTAGTTTATTTTTTATCTATATCCAACACGCGAAAATCATGAACATTTAGATTCTCTTTAACATGTGTATGTACTGCGACGGTAAAAACAAACATGCTCATCCGCATACTACGTTTTATTTTACCCCACCAATTATTTCCTACCTGGGGGAACCAGGGTATGTTCTAAGGGAGAGGGGGTGAAACAGTTGACAAGGGGGGGGGGGGGGAAGGGACCTTAGCTAACATCATGGGGACAAGGGCAATTTTTTCAAGTCCAAACTAATGGAAAAATTCTTACAAAAAAAACCCTCGCAAGAGGGCGATTGTGTTTTTTCTTCTGTCGGGGGGGGGGGGGGGGGGGGGGGGGGGGGGGGGGAATAAGAGGCACTTTTTTTTGGTCCCATTTTTCAGGAAATATTTTGCGCCGACTCAGCCAGCCGGTAAATAAGCGGGGGGGGGGGGGAGGAGGGGGTTAAGAGCACTATTTTTTGTTTGCCTTATTCGTGAGAATATTTTTATATTTTTAATTCCTTTGATTGAAAGATTTCACAAAATAACGTAAACATTTATCATCATTCTAAAGAAAATAATCCATGATATGATATGTACGTGTTTGAACTAGGTTTGATTTTCTCTGTATTTGTAATCTATAATTTGCACAGGGCCTCTGAGGGAAACAGTTTTAATACTGACAGAGTTACCCTGTTTAAATTTTTTTAAAAATAGATACAAAAATAAAACATTTATAATCTGTTTGCGTGTGTGCATCTACAATATTATGATAAACACAAAGCACGTGCATGCCAGCTTTGTTTAAAAATATTAAAAAAACGAAGAAGAAGACGGAGCATAGGAGGAGGAGGAAGAAGAAGAAGAATAAGAAGAAGAAGAAGAAGAAGAAGAAGAAGAAGAAGAAGAAGAAGAAAAAGAAAAGAAGAAGAAGAAGAAGAAGAAGAAGAAGAATTAAGATGAAGAAAATAAAACGCACTTTGCTAACTACGATTTCTTTTCTCCATGCACCTGATCAATAATTTCACACTATGAACATGACGGACAAAGGAGAGGACAAAATATACAGTTCCTCATTCTACCCTCAACAATTGCTGTGGTAGACAAAGGAACATCCCTTCACTGCTATTAAGTAAAAATGTGTAGAACAGGTGTCACATGCATATTCACCTGTTCTACACATGTTTACATAATAGCAGTGAAGGGATGTTCCATTGTCTACCACAGCAATTGTTGAGGGTAGAATGAGGAACCGTATATTTTGTCCTCTTTTTTTGTCCGTCATGTTCATAGTGTCATCTGTCTGCTTCTATTCATGGACATCGATCATCCTATAATGTAACGGTATGTTTATGCGATCACTTTGAAGGTATGACAGCAATAACATTCGACGAAACATTGGTATACTCAGAGCTCGAAAATTATTTTACATAGGATTAGTAAATTACCATGATCATACTTTGTGTAGATGCTAAACTAATGCAAAATGCGCCATCTCTTGTCCGATTGGAAATTTAATAAGTTAAAGGGCCAGAAAATGGGAAATATGACTGGCAGTATTTAACCCTTGGAAACAAGACAGATTTGTAATCTCTTCTCCCTACCAATTAAGGAATTACTAGCACAGTAACTCCTTGTCCCTACTTCGTATTTCCGCTTTTCGATCATGTTTTCTGACATAACAAGTTCAACTTAGCAACTTTTAAAATCAAAAGTGGTTGCCATAACCTTGAAATTTCCCCCAAACCCATGGATAATAAGTTGTTAGATGTTTGTCAACGAAACGGCAACCATTTTGAATGTACATGGTCAAGGTAAGCACTTTTACTTTTGAAAGTTGTATAGTTGAATTTGCCATGTCAGAAAACATATTATTAGACCCTAAAATCATTAGAATCGGACAATGTTAAAGGGAAAGTCCACCCTGAAATTAAGTTAGTTTTAATAGGAGTAGAAAAATGAGAGAAACAAGTCAGTGAAAGTTTGAGCAAATTCCGATTAAAAATAAGGAAGTTAGGATTTTTGAAGTTGTGATCAATCAAACACAAATTGGCAACTCTATGACGTATCATGCGAGCTCAACATCCATTTGCTCAGTACTAAAAAAATCTAAAATTTTCATTTTCCCTCAAGAAAAATTTCAACCGTACATGCACCCTAAATATAATAATTGCAAATATGTTTCTATACTCCCCCTGCAAGGAACAAATATATATTCCATCATCAATAACGAAGAAAACATGATTTTATGGAATATTATGCACAAAGCAAATGAAGGAGAGCTCGTATAATAAGTCACAGAGTTGCCAATTTGTATTTGATTGATCACAACTTCAATAATTCATAACTTTCTTATTTTCATTCAGAATTTGCTCAAACTTTCACTGACTTGTTTCTCTCATTTTTCTACTCCTATTAAAACTAACTTAATTTCAGGGTGGACTTTCCTTTAACTGTGTTGGTGAATTTCTAAAGTGCATTGACCTTTTCTACCATAGCGCCCTCATTTAAGATCGGAGGTATAGCAAATTATACATTTTTGGAATCCTCATGACCAGACGAGTAATTTGATATGCATATTGACACGATTGGAACTATTTGAATTTCTATCCCTGTGTGACCTTTGTTGACCCCTCACGAAAATGCCTTGGATTTTCAAGGGGGCAGCCCAAGTCAAAATTGTTCGGTATTAATCAGGGAACACAAAAACACTTTCAAAATGTTATTCCCAGAGATTGGTCACGGGACCTACAGGCTGGTCTCCTACTAGTTGTTTGAAGACGGTTGTTTAAAAAGGAGCTGTTGTTCAGTGGGGGTTGTTTACACCAACTAGGTTGTTTAAAGAAAGTTGTTTAAAAAGGAGCTGTTCTTCAGTGGGGGTTGTTTACAACAAAAGATTCTGAATAAGTGCACCAATACTTCTGGGTCTCTATAGGTATGTGAAGACTAACAATATAGTAGGGTAATTCTGCAATTTATCAATTAGCGCCAAAACAGTGCCCATTTTGCATGAGCGCGCATGCACGCACGTATAAACTGCATAATACTAGGGATGCATACAATCTCTAAGGCAAAGAATTAAGCACACGTTATAACCGAGTGCACGATCAGTGCCGCACTGCGTGACGCGACGATTTAAGTCTACTTACACTGTCGCTCATAAAGGTGGAATATTTTGTTCAAATCCCAATTGATGGAATTATTTTAAAAATAATTTAAAAATAATAGATTTAGATAATAAGTATACATTCTCGGATTGTATTGAATAATAATTTGCCAATGTGTGTTTTGCGTGACTGCTAAATCATGTGTATGCTACTATGCTTATCAACTAGGGGACCTATGCCCTTAAGTCATAAATGACAGTAATGAGGATTAATGCCCCACAAAATTTAAAAAAACACAAAAATGCAATAAATTTTCAAAAATTTATTGCATTTTACCCCGGTTCCCAACATAAAAAATCTTCTGTGTGCCCATGCCTTGAGCCAAAATGCGTGGCGGTCCAGAGAATTCTTTTATGTTGGGGACCGGGGTAAAATGCAATAAACTATTGAAAATGTATTGCATTTTCTGTTTTTTTTTTTATTTATGGAAACTGCCCCCCTACCCTAGCCCCCGCTGCGTACAGTCATGGTTCAGTGACACAACAATGGCCTCGTAACTGTGAGGCCCCAGGATCAAAACCGTGTCGATGTGCTATATTAGTGCCCTTTTGTGGGGCATTATCCTCATTACTGTCATTTATGACTTGAGGGCATAGGTCACCTATTTAATAAGCATAGTAGCATACACATGATTTAGAAGTCCCGCAAAACACACATTGGCAAATTATTATTCAATAAAATCTGAGAATGTATACTATTATCTAGGTCTATTATTTTTAAATAATTTTTAAAATAATTCCATAAATTGGGTTAAAACTCAAATATTCCACCTTTATGAGCGACAGTGTGTATATTCTGACATTTGCGTACAGATACTGACAATTTTAACTGTGAACTTACGCTATAAGTTAAAAACTTCAAATTGGTTAATAGAAAAGTGATTTCAATTAAACCATTGAATCCCCAGTCACTTAGAAGCGCGTCGGTAGCTTGGTCGGCCATGATGTGAAATAAAGCTTTTGGCCAACGCGCACTTTACTGGCACGTGACACACGACGTCATATGTAAACAACACTGTCTAAAAGCTCTCGTATAGTAAATATAGCAGTCATTAAATTTTAAACAGCGAATGTTTAACAAAATTACTTTCGTTTCGAGCAACATTGTTTACAATTTGTTCAACTGTTGTTTAAGATAGTGTACAACTGTAAGTGACCATCACTTTTTTAAGCAGCCGCGTTTTTACTGTATAGAATAATGTGGACTTGAGCTCGTGGCCAGTCAAGGTGATCGTGATCAACAAGGGACCAGTCAGATAAATCAGAATTTGAACAGGGCACGATCACTCGTGGGTGTATTTGAATTTAATTGATGACGTAATTGGACAGAATTGAGAGCAGATTAATGAGGTGTACTCTAGAAACCGAGAACTAAAGATAGACTAATTCATTCATTTTGCACCCACAATTTGGCAAAACGTTTCAGTATGGGGAACATATTAATTACAATGTCGTAATCATATTTCAAAATGAGATTGAAGAATGAGATTGAAGAAATGTCTCAGTCAATTGAACTGAACGTTTTGGTATGTGTCTCAATTATTTATTTTGTTACTATGTTACAAGCCCAGCTCGTCCAGTTCTGATGTCAAATCAATGAGTCAAGATGAGGTGAGGGCTGATGAGGCTTCTACCACTTCCTGTGCTGCCTGGTCCTTGCCTGTGCATATAGGGAAAGTCTGCTATGCCATCAGCATGCAATTAACCTGTGGCTGTAACATTCACATTCGTGGCCAACACCCCTCATTCACTCCAAAATCAGACCAAGAATAAATGCATTTTAAAAAAGAAAGAAAAAGGAAAGTGATTTCTTTGTTTAATTACTCAAAAATTCAATATCATTTTTCATCAGAGTTTACATCATTGGCCTCACTTTCTATTCTGCATCCTTGCATTAAGACATTATCTTAAGTGGAAGTCATAGAATCCCATTTGTCCAAAATAGCGATTCAATGATACATTTGGTTAATTATGATTTTTAAAGGAAATAAAAATAATTATTGAAAATACATATCATAATATAATAATAATAATAGTAATAATGTCAACTTATAAAGCGGACATATCCATTCTGAAAGACTGTTCAAGTTGCTCTGTACAGTATCAAAGTAATTATACAATATTAAAACTACGACATAATTGAACTATAGTAATACGACATAATTATACAATATTTAAAACTACGACATAAACAAATGGTGCTTAAGTTTCTTCTTAAATATTTCAATTGATGGTGATTGTCTTATTGGTAATGGTAAATTGTTCCATAATTTGGGAGCAATATGTTAGCAAAAGCCCTGTCCCCCCCCCCCCCCCCATTTGTGATGGGTTTTTAGTGCACATAACTGGAGCTGTGAACCTGAACGTAAATTCCGTTGTGGGTGTACGGTTTCAAAATCTCATACAAGTAATGGGGTGAAGAAAGAAGAAGTGTTTTGTAAGTAATGAGTAACAGCTTATACCTGATTCTTTTTGAGAACGGAGAGTGACAAGCCGAGCTGCCATGTTCTGAACTCGTTGCAGACGGGCTATTTGATTTTGAGGAAGGCAAATATACAACGAATTACACATATCCAAACGACATGTAATAAAAGAATGAACAATCTTTTCAGTGCTTTTCTGATTAAGAATTTTTTCTGATCCTCCAAATGTTGTGAATCATTTCAAAGCTCAAATCTACATTTTCCATATGACACCATAATAATGACTCCCAATCAAGGAGAGACCCAATGGTTACAGTGATTCAGTTCGTTTTTTTGCCTCTCTGGCACACGTACCGCCAAATACTAAATCATCATAATACTAATAACCCAAGGGTCTGATTTTTTCAGGGACATCCTGTATAGCAAGATATTTTGGATATTGCTCATATTGTATTAGGGCAGTACCAGAAATTGTCAAAGTCTCCAATAAATGTTTTAAGCAGGAAACAAACACATTTACTTATACCTTCTCTTCGTTAAAAAAAGGCGTTATATGTATCCAAAGGGGTTTAATTAGTATGAGAGATAGTATTTTAAAACACACTGTCTCTGCCCCTGCACTCTGTACATACAACTGAATATGTATAAGCCACCTTTGATATCAGAGTCGGGGCTAGTAGCGTTATAATTACAAAATAATTGTTGCAGTAGATAAGAGAATTGGTACTAGACAAAAGACGGAGACGAAAAAATGGTAGACAGGTATAATACTTCCACAGCTTAAATATATCTACCAAATTGGCAACTTGCACATGAAATAGTCAATAGTATCGTCACATGGTCTGTCATTCCAATAGTAGTCGTAAATGCCTTTTATCTCGCCACAGTCTTCCCCACGAAAGTTATCTGGTTGTGGGAAAACGCGCGACCACATGGTGAAGTTGAACGGTGATTCGTCGGTCCACTCGAAACTACCCTCAGTGGAGATGTCGTGGAGACCAATCCAAACGTCACGACCGTAATAATTGCCATTACTGTGCCGATCCTGAAACATAATAATAATATATCTTGTTTACTCCAGGGTAGCTCCATTAGTACCACCACTGCTCTTCATGAGGGTCCTGCAATCATCTTATTACCTCAGTTTTAGCACCGCTACCATGATATGGCGCTCAAGCATTCAATGAATGTCTTCCTACCGGGTACCCATTTCATTTACCTGGGTGGAGAGTGTCAACGTAAATGAATGTCTTATCAAAACGCATTAGTGCACTAGCCCGGGAACTTATCTACGAAACGGTACGACACTTTATACACATGAAATATGTTGCAGGGAAAAAGTATCGGAGACGACGCTTGGAGTTATATTTAATCAGATAGAAAGACTTTTAGTTGTTCGAGTATGTAAATAACAATCAACTTTGGAACCAGATACTTCAATCACAGGTCTAAAACTCTGTTGTAATTTAGCCTTATTTAGGTGATACGTACGTAGACGTATCACCTATTGATTTCGCCAAGATTTTTATCTATTTATTTATTCTTCCTCGAATTTGTTCGTAGGATATCTCAAGAGCCATTGTCATGAATCTTTCAATGATGATAGATCTTAGTCTAACTTAGAACTGTGTGACTTTTCAAAGACTCAAAGTCATCGTGACGTCATCCAGGCGCCATTTTGTGAAAATCAACTTACGATCATATCTTCATTACGAAAAGTAATTTCTCACTCATATTTATCATGGTTGAGATCAATATTTGTCCGGTCAATTTCAGGTTAATAAATTTGCGCAAAAATGCGCGTACGCGTAGGTGCGCGCGTTAACGCGCGCGTAAATTTTTTAATTGCTCTAAATCATCCCAAATATTTTTTGCATACTTTTCAGGCCATTTAGAGCATTTGAGAACAAACCATGCATACGCGCATGCGCGCGCGCTTTTGGCGCGTACTAGCATTTTGCAACGTAAAATCGCCGAATTTTCTCTGTTTTCATATTTGGCACATTTTTCCAAGCATTTTGATAACTTGTTCACCTTTTAATAACGCAATGAGCGTCCGTCAAAGTTGACAGCGTGCGCGGGCCTGCGTTATCTTTACCCACAATACATGGGCAAAAATCATGCCTATACAAAATTCATTGTAACTCTTCAGAATAGATAGAAACTCCCTATATTCTTTCATATTTGGATCGATTATGAGTTGGAGATATGATTTCATGTCTCATTTGACCCTTAATTAACTCATGACGTCATCATAATGGCCTCCAAACTCAAAATTTAAATTTGCATATTATGACGTCAACAACCGTATTTACCTTATTATTACCCTTTTTTCCACTTAATCCATTACTTTTTGCGTGTAATCCCTATGGGAGATGACTTTTTCAAATCTGGATTCTACATTCCTGTCTTTTACGAGCAATATCGCCATTAATTCTGCATGGATTTAGTAGATTTTTGAGTATGTTGTGGCTGAGACTATATGCTATCTAAATTATTCCTCATTTTTTTAATTAGATATCAGGATCACGCTCATGGTCATGATCATTATCATCATGATCATCATTATCATAATGATGATAATCATTAATCAATTACATTTTCATTTCTTTGAATAAGATAAAATCGTAAAAATGTGTTCTTCATGATGTAAATTAGAGTCAAAGGTGTAACTGGTTACTGTACAGGGTCAACGGTCATATATTGTTTCCATCTATCTTCCCGAGATTCATGATGATCAAGGGGACACAATTTAAACTTGACATATAGATAGATCATAATGGGAGAAACATTTTATTAAATAATATATCGTGTAATACATTCTTATAGTTATTTGTATGCTTCTTCTTATCATTATTATCGTATACACAATATGTCATGTGCCAAGAATTTATTGCTATGATACATCCAAGATGTCTACCAAAACTGTCAATTCGTTGCTGAAATATTTTCAAGCCAAAAGAAGGAACGTTAGAATTTCTATTTTAAATTGAAATAAATTATATAAGAGAAATAAATAGAGAATACAATCATGATTTTGGAACTAGGGGATTAACATGGACATAATGCACTTGTTTACATGACCACATTATCTCTTATTCATTCTACCTCCAATTTTTCAGACTGCTTTCAAAACAATATCATGTGTGTCGATCATAGTTCTATGTAGCTTGATGTCTCATGGTAATTTAAGCAATCTAAGCAACAATTTCTGAATTTTAGCGACAATCGTTCGCCTCTGCTGCTCTTTAATACTATTATGACGTGCAGTAACAAATTGAAATTTCAGAACTCATGATAAATTCGTTTAACAGTTGATTCCACTTGGTTTATTCTATTGTTCGGGTTATTTAGCAAAACGAGACAGAAATTGATATTCTCATGGCTAACGACTTTGCGTTAGTAGTTGTTCATCGTCTCTACAATGCTATTTGAACAATATTTGGTGACAAAAGACGGCATTTCTATGTAGCTTAAAAACCCATCAAATAACAAAAACATGGCAGATAAAAAGATCCTCAGTACTGGGTCTAATAATTTAAAGAACACTTAATTTGAACCCGGCCACATTCTCTCTCTCACTCGTTTGTCATTGCCTCCATTTTCCCTCGCTTACTTCATTCTTACCACGGAATATGTAATGTGTATGTGTAGGCCTCATTATGTTAATTTATGTTAATAGGGTCAATGGTCAAATTGTCTCAATATATCTTCCATACATCCATAATGATCCAGGCTAAACAGTAGACACTTGACTTATGGATAGATCATAATGGGAGAAGCATTTTATATAACAATATGACCTCGTGAAAATGTATTCTTCATTATGTAAATCATTAGCATACGTATCACCTAATTCGTCAAAGTGACGAATTAAAGTCTAGTTGTAGAGTGTTTTAATAACTTTTAAAAATGTACCGTACTGCGTAAGTGCTATGTATATATTTTCCATGCAATCATCTTGAAATATATGACGTAGAGATCCATTGTGGGACCAAATTTATTTCTTATTTATATAAATGACAACATATTTTGCACTCAGTCGATTAGTTTTAATTTATTTGTAGACGATACAAATATTTTTTCATCAGGTAAAATTTTTAATTTACTTTACCAATTGGGGATTCACATCAAAGACCAATCTTAATAGCAGACGTAAGTTACAAAAAACGAGTAATAGATATAAGGCCATTAAAAAAAATAAACATGTTAAGCATCCCCGCCCGCTTCCTTTTGGCGGGCCGCCTCCTATTTTTTTTTTTTTTGAAATATTTTTATTTTTATTTTTTTTTATTAATTGTTTTTTTTAAAGAAAAAAAACACATGAAAAAACTGTTAAAATGGATCTATTTCTGATTTTTTTTTTAAATAAAAAAAACTTCGGCGGCCATCTTGAAAAATAGCCCGACTGTCAGGGAAAATGTACCGAGCGGCCATTTTGAACGGCCATTTTGAAAGAAAAAAAAAGGGCCTCCTCCTTCCTATTTTTCGAAAAGACAGGACGCTAAACATGTTTTTTTTTATTTGGCCTAATAACTCATTTAAATATCCTTTGTCATAGTGATCCTCTTTTTAAACAGATGCAAATCTTACCAATCCCTGACATAATATTATTAAATGTTGCCACTTTTATGTTCATGCTCATGAAAGATATTCCTATACCAGATTCATCTAGGGAATGTTTTACAATGAATTGTCATATCCACGAATATAATAGTAGACATGCTCTTGATTTTCATTTACCTTTACACCGTACCTCAACCTCTAAAGATTTCATATGTTTCCATGGCCCATTCATATCGAATAGTTTGCCAGATGACATAATACAGTGCAATACATTGAAACGTCAAATATATCTGTATAAGGGTTAACATTTAAGCGGAACAAAATGAAATTGTCTGTTTTTATGTAGAATGTAAACATTCCAGTTGTAACTTCCTTCTTCTTATATTCCTGTAACTGTCTTTACCTTATGTTATCTTTATCTTTCCTCTGTCCTCTGTTGTTGTGAAGGTACGTACGATGTTTTTAAAAATATGAAATAAGTTTGTATCTTGATAATGCTAAGTATTTATTTGGGGATCATTCTCATCAAGCCAATTTTGACTTTCATGATTCCCAATTCCTTTGTATCTTTTGTTGATAATTAACAAACATGTATATACTTTTGATGTTTTTTTAAACAGAGTGAAATTAATAAATGAATGAAATGAAATGAAATTATCGGAGCACATGAAGTGAATACCTTGACTCCCGTAGATTCGAAGTAAGCGACGACGAAATTGTTTTCATCTGGCGAATTGATGGATACGAGATGCCCCAAGCTATCCCTGTCTGTTTCGCCCAGAGACGGCACCGAGAATTGGTTGCAAAATGCCTCTGCTTCATGCCAAGTCTTCAGGTCACTGAATAATCTATGTTGTTTGATATTTCAGGAGAAGAAAAGGAATAGGGGGAAAGGAAAGTAGAAGGCAAAGAAGAAAAATGTAACTGTCATATTGATTTGAAGGAAAAATACGTGATTAAGGTTGTTAACGTACAAAATTAACACAGTCGGGTCTGTTATTTTTTGAAATATTGTGTAGAGATATTTTGATTTTCACGACCGACGTGATCTACGACGCGAAGTTGGCACTGAGACCCTTCAGCGCAATCGTCCGTCGGCTGAGTCCTACTTCATTCAATGAGGGTCAACTTCGGTATACATTCTCAGCATATGCTCAAGGGACTTATCACAACCACTTTGACCTCTCTTTATGCATATTTGAAAACGTGGCACGGTCAATTATCTAGTATTCATTTTACATGATTTGATTATCCTCCACCGGTTACATTATATTTCATGAGCAAATGTTGCGGAACATCTGAATGTTAGGAACGGTTTAAGAAGGGGACCTGGGGCCTCATTCCGAACCAATTTAAGCGAAACAAGTGTGGAATATCAATGTAAGAACCTGTAAACCCCCCCCCCCCCCGGAATAACAAAGAAAAACATCTCCAATATTAAACCGTGCCTGCTGACATTAATGATTTCTGTCGTTTCGCCTCCTTGTGTAGAGAAACATACTGTCGATGTTATTCACATGATTGTTAGTAAACGCCAGAACTATTGTAGTCACGTATGCATGGCCTGACATGCATGTGCATCCGCATAGCTAAATTTTGCTTGATAAGGTATGAAAGATGAACATCCAGTATGAAATGCAATAATGTAAATTACTTGCTATATGAAAACATTATTATTATAAGTAAACATTGGTTCACAGTGGTTCACGATGAGCACGGAGTCATGTCCTAATTTGACTATTAATTATTATGATGCATGGAAATGTCAAAGAAATACACTTTCAATGGATAAACTAGAGCAATAACTACATTTGCATGGTTTTATCAATCCACTTAATCCACCGAAAGTGAAATTATTTGAAATTTCCATGCATGCATCATAATAATTAATGGTCAAATTAGGACATGACTCCGTGCTCATCGTGAACCACTGTGCGAAATGTGCGTGTGCGTGTGTGTGTTTGTGTGTGTGTGCGTTCGTGCGTGTGTGTGCGTGTGCGTGTGCGTGTGTGCGTTTTTGTCTGTCTGGCTGTCTTTGTTCAAAATACTATTTTATTCCTCACCCAGCAACTTGGCGCAAGTGAGATCTGGCAGTCTTGTATTAAAAGATTGTCTGATGTTCAATCATGCATGCAGAGATTCAAGTGAAAATGGTACCTAAAGGTCCTGGGAGGATAACTCTATCCTCACATATCATGAAACCCATGATTAAATATTCAAACTTCAAACACTACAACTTTTAAAAAGTGGGACATTTTTTCTGACTCACGCTGTATACATTTTTTTCATACCGTATGACATATCCTAAATCAATGTGTAGAAACATAGCTGGGAAAATAGCGTTTACTATTGTGTTGAGATTGCACTGCATTTATAAAGAAATATGCTGCAAATTCCTGGATCCCTGGGGTGTGGAATAACGCTTAATGTGTACAGGACGCCATGAAGTTTTCTTTGTTCACAAACAATTGTCCAGGTCCATACAATAACTGACTCATCGAGCGTGCGAAGCAACATACACCCCTCCCCTTGAAGATTGAGACCTACTAACGTGCTAACTATACAAATATGTTGAATTAATTTTTTAATCCAAATGTTGCAGCTATTAGTTGGCTTTTTTTTCTTCAATTATTAGCTCACTTTAATAACAGTAATTGTTAGGGACATATTTTCATGATTTTCTTTCACACTGGCTGAATTTGGAATTGGGGTGACGCGAAACATTTAATTTTTTAAAGGATGCCGTGACAAAAAAAAGGTTGAAAACACTTATCTTGTAGACTAATGACTGGTACCCCCCCCCCCCCCCCATGACTGTGTCCCCGCTACGCCACTGAGGAGCTGAATAAAGCTAAATGTGTATATGGCTACATGGAGCTTTCTTTGTTCACAAATGATTGTTCATGTCCATACAATAGGGACTTTTAGATTTTCGTGGACTGATACATGTGACGTCCATTCAAGGCAGTGCATAACAAGAACGTCGATTGTAGCAATCCCCATTGTCTTCGCGCGAATCTAAAAGTCCCTAATAACCGACTGATAGAGCGTGGAAAGCAATCGTTATAAGATCAACACAAATGCCCTTGCCGATTGAAACGTACCAGTGCCTATAATTTATATTATGAATGAGGCATAAGAATTGGGATAGAAAAGAAAACAAAATCATGTTTGTAGACAAACTGAATGGCAAATATCATTTTTTCAAAGAATACAGTTTTTTATTTCTCTCGAAAGGGCATATCTTTAAGTATTTCAATCCACAAAAGGGTACGGGTTTTGCCAGGCAAGATGGTCCTACGTTCACGGAAAATAGCCCTTTTTAGAAATTTAGAGGGCGCTATTTATATCATGCCTAATCATTGAAGCATGACATTTATCGTTGGTATGTGTTATTATAATATACAGATACTTTGAAAGTTTGAGACAAAACGGAATTTGTATGAGAAAGTTATCGCAATTTACGTTTCTTAGGGGTCAATTTTTAAAGAATTTTAAATAATTTTTACAGAGTCGATTTCGGATTTAAATTTCGAGTATGAAGATGGCATTTGAAGGCCAATTTATGCTACGCAGATGAAAGAACATTTCTTGGATTGTCTAGCGAAATTTGTTGCAAGTCTTTAGGATCTAGGATAGTGGAGATACGAAGGAAGAAAGAAAGCCCTAAAAACGGACTAGAAACGGACAACATGGCGCCTGGATGGTTACGAATGAGTGATTTTAGAAAAAAAAATTGAAAACGTAGAGTGAGGTGACCTAGATTCGGATGCCCAAGATTTCCTGGTAAATCATCAATAATGTTACTTAAGAGCATATAATTGTTTTTTGGGGGTAAATTCTAAGATAATTTATTTGCCTTGATCCAGTCAGCAACCACTCGTAATTGAGAAATAATCGTTCTCAGTAAATTTGGGGTCTTGATGAGAAAAAAAATGTTAGAGTCGTCAGCAAACAAAATGAAGAACAGCGTTGTTGATGACATGTAAAATCAGTAATATATACGATAATAAGTAATGGACCTAAAATAGAATCTCGATACACGCCAAATTAAAAGGTCTTTATGGAAGAATGTGAGTACGTCTATGAGTACGTAATGCTTTATATTGTGGAGGTAGTTCTTAACCAATCCAAAGCTATGCCTCTGATTCCTTAGTTATAAAGTTTGTCGAGTGAAAGTATTTTGTCATTTATCATATCAATTGCCTTCGAGAGGAAGAACAAGAACAAGAATTCAAAACGCGAACGATAACAAGGCATTGACATCAAGTCGTCTATGCAAATACGAATTCAAAACGCGAACGGAAACAAGGCATTGACGAGAAGTCGTCATCGCAACGATTCAGAACGCGAATGAGAACAAGGAATTGACGAAAGTCGTCAATGCGAAGAAAGAAACATTTGATGGATGTTTAGTGGAACTAATAATTACGTCACTGTGATTCTTAGCCATTCGGGTTATTGTAATTGTGGTTGGTGTGACTGGGGTAATATACATAGTCGCAAATTAAGGTGGAGCAAACCTGGCCTCGCATATTTTTTTTACACAACTGTTTAGCCATTTTCGCGAAAAAATTCCAAGAAGTTCTCTGGTGAAAGAGTCTAAGTCGTCAGCGCACTTATGTGCAAGCACGTACACCCAGGGAAGGGAAGATGGTAGAAAGGGGGAAAACAAGGATAGTGGAGAGGATATGGAGAAGGAAACACAAGGAAATACATAAGGAAAGAGAAGAGGATAAGTCAAAGGAAGAACATAGCAATACATAATTGAAGAGCTAAGAGGATCATAGATCTAGACTAAGGAAAAACAGGGCTATAAAGAAGAAGCTAGAGAAAGGGAATCTATCAGATTAAAACAAAAAAATAGATGACGAATTAGGAGAAAAGGATAGATTGAAGGAGAAACAAAGAAATACATAAAACAAAAGAGAAGAGGTTTATAGAATGAAGGAGAACAAAAGAAATACCGAAGGAGAACGTACTGGGGGATAACTTGAAGGAACAACAAAGAAATATATAACGAAGGAGAAAAAGGATAGATTGAAGGAAAAAAGAAATACATGACAAAAGAGATTGAAGGAGAACACAGAAATACATAATGAAAGAGAAGAGAGGATAGATTTAACCCAAAACAAATAACGAGTAGGCCTATGTGCACATGTACAGCTCCAGCAATCCAACAAAACTGCTGAGGGTAATGCTAGACTCTGTCTCTAGTCGTTTGCACAGTATTTGACTGAATTGGCTAATCAGTTGTGTAAAAAAAAATATGCGCAACCTGGCCCATGGCCCCTCTAAATACCCTATTGGCATACACGTATATATATACTTGAAGGCATCGTTTAACAATGTTAAATCTGAGATGCACGGCCCTACTTGTTATCAGTGAATATGATGGTGTAATATTGAAGCTCTAACAAACAAAAACGCTTCAAAATGATCAAGAAGTGCCTCAAGAATGTAAAAATCTTTGAGTGACCGGTTTTACCATAGTCGTTTTCCCTAATAGACTGTAGTGTTATGAAAAACGGTTTTCAAAATTTGTAATTACAATCATAAATATCTTAATAATCAGACAGGCGATTGGATTGTAAAAGTCATGGGATTCCTGACTGACCTAAAGGTTTATAATTATCATTGCAGCATTAGCTAAATCCAGGATTTTGTTTTAGAATCTGAGACAAAGTTACCGGATCCCTACTGCAAATTTCCCCTTAATAATGCTGATATTCGGCATTGTAAAACTGTCGTAGTCAAGTAGTTTCGAACACTTGAATGGAGATACGAAGTTCGTGGGTTCAAACCCCGTTGCTGTACCAGTTTTCTTTGGCAAAACATTAATGTACATTTACCACTCTCCACCCAGGTGTTACATTGGTATAATGGCAGGAAAATGTCCTTGAATGCAGTGAGTACCGAAATCAGTTGCATAACCTAATGCTGGGGGTAATATAGAGCGTCTTAAGCACCTTGAGTGGTGGATATGAGCGCTTTGAGATTTTTTCAAATAGTAATGATATCATATTCCACCCCTTTACAAAATCCTCGATCCGCCCTTACTCAACCAACCTGTAACAATGACCATTGTAGGCAGTCCAGAAGGTGGGGCAACAGCAGCTTGCCCGCGTCCCTCCGGGGTTTATGAACATAATGAAGGCTGATACTAGAAAGAGCAGCACAGGATTCTGTCGACGATCCATCTCTGAAGCTCTGTATCTGTTGGTTTTGTTTGAACCGGGATCCAAGTAGCTAGGCGAAGGCAGAGAGCTGAACGAACAAACGTAGCGCTTTGTAGATTAATCCGTACTTATTCCGTGTGAGTCAAACAAAATTGTCATTTATTTCCAAGGCAGCTATGAACAAAAGATTACCATACATGTTCGGAAGGAGTGTTATATCCCAAATCGTTTTGTGTAGTAGGTCTTCACGCTTGGATGAACAGGAGTCATTGTTTGCGAGAGTGCAAATATCGCCTTGCGCAAAAGTATTAAAGTGAGAGAACGAATTGAATGTATAAAATGAAATGCATTGCATACTAGCTTTTTGCAGAAGCAAAGACACACACACACACACACACTCACGCGCGCACAAATGTTCTTTGATATTTGATATATGTGTGGACTGATTAATTTTGTTAGGGATTTTATTTGGATTTGCAAAGACCGAAGTATAATACACGAATCCCAATTGTTTTATTCAAACATCACATAAGCATTACTGGCGCAAGTCGATTTCTGCACTCTCGCAAACAATGCCTCTTGTTCCAGGCCTGAACACATATCACACACAAATGATACCAAATGATTGGGGATAAAACACTATTTCATAAGATGTATAATAATTTACTGTTCATTTTTGGACTATTTGCTTAATATTATTGATTCACTTACCATGCAAACGATTATAACCAAAAACGCATATATTCATATTAATGTAGACGGAAAGCTGTACACGCGGAAATCATTACGCGATTAAGCTCCACCGTTTTTGGATCATTTGAAGACGATACAGGCACCCTAGGCGGCAAAGTGATTGGATATGAGCTCATGAATATGTATTTAATCGATAGTATCGTTCAAGATATATGTTTATTATTTGATCTCATTGCATAACTTTAATTAGGCAGACTTATTCACGACGCTATTCGCATATATTGAGAAGAATTAGTTCACAGACAATTGGTGAGTATGGTTGAAATTATGATTAGATTACATAAATGTAGTCATTTATTGAGAACAATAATATTGTAACGTCTTTCCTACACATAAATCAAATGTAAACACGAGCTAAATATAGGCAATAGTGACCCGTCACGACAAAATCAGACAGAATTTGCAAAGATTGTTGTTTTTAGGTTAACGGAAGGTGTTAAAAACAAATTTTCTTCGACTGCGTTTTTTTTTTTCGTCTTTATAAAATTGCAAATTCTAGGGCTCTTTAAAAACGAGAAAAATAATGCGAGAGAGCAGGAATTGTGTCGAGAATGCAAGTGCGTGTGATTATGAAAGAAGGGAAAATATCAATTATCGCTTGGTCAGCGCACGTCCGTCTTAATACGTTGTCTTTAAAAAGGTGCCAAATTCTAAAGATCTTTTAAAAAGTGATAAGAAAAGAAACGAAACCTTTTAAAGAGAGAGAACATGAACTGTGTCAAGATTACAAGTGTGTGATCAAGAAGGTGAGAAAAAATGTAAATACTAAATAGCCCGGTCCATTTAATTTTCAGAATTATGAATCTTTAACATCATAAACTTTTTAGTTTTAAATTCGGACTTTCTCGTTTTCGCAATAATGAACCCATTTCCATTTTCGGAATTTTACCCTTAATATCGGAAATTCAAAAACATATCAATTGATATTGGCTCTTGAAGGATAAAAGACGTGCCACATGAGTTTATTAAAGATTATTCTTTCATTTGATTTAATTTCACTCACTCTGAAATATATAGAGGCAATACTAAAGTCTACAATGAAACAAATACATTAACATAAAATTTAACTTGAACTCTAATCTTTCCTGGATAGGACGATGTCTTCAACATGATTAAATATCAACACTAACAACTGTTCGTATTGCAACACACACATAGTATAGAAATTCCGTGTATTTACAGTGATTGCAAACTAGGAGGGCCTTTAAAGTAATTCTATGCTCTGATGAATATGTGTTGTTCATGTCAAAGATGAATTCATCTTCTTTTATATGATACCCAAAAGGGCTATGCATGCATATACAAATCAATTTACAATTATTATGCAATAACATGAATAAGATATTAATATGATAAAAAAGGATAACTGATGTTTCATGATGTACATTTATCCAACTTTCAAATATTTTTAACCTAGAAATGAGTCCACAATATTTAAAAATTGATCATTTTGATGTACAGGACAATGTGATTGCCAGATATGAATAAAATGAAAAGCAAAATAAAGAGAGGTTAAATAAATGGCCATTCATTGCATTGATCAATACATCCCAATGTCATATGCAGATCGATTTTGACATTGTTATCGTTATTGACATATATATATTTCTAGTTACATTTCGATGATCACAAGCTCTTACACTACAAATATAGTATCATGATTGTGGGAAGAAGAAAACAATATATTTTTGCTTGGTGGTTGAAATGCCAACACAGGAGTCTAAAGAATCCAAGTAATATTATGTACAATCTATCGTGGCCGTGACAGCATGCAAACTTTGCAAAAACACAGCTAAATATAAATTCTTGAATAAAAATGTATTTATTTCTTTAAAGGGGTACGATCGTTTGTATACAGCATTTTGGTAATTTTGCAGGAATGTGAGAATGATAGACACTTTATACAACGAAGATTACTGATGAGAATAACTAGTTAAACCTATCGCTTTTACGACTACCAGGCTGTGTCAACAATACTTAATTACAATCAAAACTTGAATATAAGTATATATATTTTACAGTTAAAGTTTGGAATCTTCCTTTAAAAAATCTGTGGCATATCCACGCATTTAGGCGGAATTCTCTATGTACCTTAAAGGGGGCGTCCACCCTGGTATTATGTGACATTTAATAGAAGCAGAAAAATGAAAAATGAAATAACTATATCTACATGGTTGCCTCTACAGTCAAAGAGGAAGTCCTCTCTAATAATTAGTTTGTTTGATACAAGAAAAAAAGTGAAGAACAGATCAATGAAGGTTTGAGAAAAATCGGACAATAAATAAGAAACTAATGGAATTTTTAAATCCATAACATTTCATGAAGTACTTGAAACCTGTGAGTCAAATTGGCTACGCGGTCTCTAAATATTTTTTTACCTTTTGTTCAATGCAAGAATTATCATTAAATTCCCTTTTGATAAAACGATATATTTCTTCATGCCTATCTCGATCATATATCACGGATAACATGTTTTTTAATTCACCCACTTTAATATAGGTCCACTTTTAAAATTAACATTCAGATAAATGGAAATTTTGTGTCATTCTGTCCTTTAGATCAGTGGTGGATTGTATCGGGATGACATCACAATTTCTGACCGTATTGCCAATTTGTCTCAAAGATTCCATGATTTTCATGATTTTGAAAGTTTTTTTGCTCAAAATTTCACAAAGTTGTTTCTGTAATTTTTCTGCTTCTATTAACACCAATTTAACATTAGGGTGGACTTCCTCTCTGGATAAAAATCAATACTAAAATTATTATACAAAAAAAAATACATTAAATATACTTGGCGGAAAATTAGAATGTACAGAAGAATGAAAAATATTTACAAAAAATTGAAACATATAAATTAATATTCTTCATTTTTTCAGGTGCAACAATTATGATTGTGTTGGCAAAAAAATTAAATTTCTAGATATGCATCTTCTCCGTCTTAGCATATCAATATTTCATCTTAAAATGTCATCAGTCAAATGACAGATTTGGTAACCCCAATAATGTCTACAACAAATATTTCTCCAAATGCCCCGATCTTCAGATAACCTCTTCATTTTCGCCATCTTCTATTATGCCTAAACTTCTATTTCACCTTCTTTTATTTTCTGATTTTATTTTTTTACTTTTAAATTATTGCTCTTTATGTTTTACACATTGCACAGGTAATGGGAAGGAAATAAACGTGATTTCTCTGCAACGAACTCCTCATTCTCCAAATTATCATCTAAGGATTCTTTACGAGGTCTTCCTTCCGGCTTTTATCCATACATACGACCTTCCCTTACTGGTATCAATAATGTTACATTTTGGTATTTTTTTCATGCTATAACAATCATTTTATGATAGAGGTCAACGTTTCACGAAACCGTCGCACAATTTCACTAGTATGCGATTGAAACTAGTGTATTACATGGGATGTTGGCGCACTTGAACTCACGACTGCTTCGTGAAACCATGCCCTGTATATAATCACAAGAAATGGCTACAATGTTTTAAATTCATTGACAACAACAAGTTTAACAGCAGATTGACTATAACATTAAATCAATTTCTGGTCCTCGTGTCTCAACCAGCTATTATGCAGGATCATGGATTTAGCTTTCCTGGCAGAATGTCGGTAATTTCCAATACCCTTGTGATCCAAACCCAGTCATTATTCCGACATAGTTGACTGCAAGAGGATTTGGATCATCAGTGGCGCTCATGAGGGCCAGTTGTGTACCATAACGGCTTAACTTAATATGACCGTTGGCGAAAGATAGCTGGTAGTGGTTGAAATCCGGAATTCCTGACAGACTGAAGGAGTCAGGGTTTTTGTCTACAGGATATAATACTTTCGAAGTAGAAGAATCGGAACCGCCAGCTCGTTCGATATAGCCACCAGTATTGGCCCATCCACCGATAACTGTATGATAGATTTAAGTTCACAAGTTCATATAATCATTTCTTTTCCACAAATGTAAATGGAAAATAAGAGAGGCGGGTGTAAAGGACTTTCATAGTTCTTAATGCACCCAAAATAGCGTTCCAAACTTAATATTTATGCTCTATGGATGCGATGGCCAACTGTTTCGACTGGGAAACGAAGTCCAGATAATGAAAGTTATTTTCCTGGCTTCGACTTGAAGCACACGATATATGGAAGGAAAGAAAGTGTAGAGCTTATGTTCGACTTAATGCTAATTTAGTCAGTTTACCATGTTTCATTGAGAATTCGTCTGCCTATGATGTCAGCAGGCACGGTGGTAAGCATAAAATAACTGTTCTTTAGACATTTTAGAGGTGTCTCCTCCCGCCTATCCGGGATCGAAGCCCTTGGCTAAACAACTCTCCGACGCTGACTTACCTAGTTCGTATTTTTCGTCTGACACATTACCTGCGTAGAGTCCAATGTGCGCATCATTGTCGGCGCTGACCATGAAGTCGAATGACGTCACATTCTCAGCAATCCAGAGGCCTGGAAAGGTGTACTCTTTGGTTTCATCCACATCAGGTGTGTGGAATACGGGACACTCTATCAAAACACG